AGGGCCGGGGGAGAGGGCCCGGTCTGCGCCAGCCCAGGCAGGAGCGGCCGCGGAAGAGCAGGGCGTCGGTCGGTGCCGTATTTTGCGGGAATAGTTGTGGTTAGCAGGTGATGGGTCTTGGCCCGGAAAGAAACGCGCTCCTCGAGAAAGAAAAAAAAAATATATATATAAATTAAAATCTACGCTTAAACAAGCAAAAAAAAAAAAAAGTGTGGTGGATAGACCCCGTATTTTAAAAGCGATGCCACAGGAGGAAGGTGGCCCCAGTTATGCGAGTCACTAGGCGGCACTATTATACACGACCCTTTTTAATTTTTAATTCTAATTTTTGGAGGATTTTATTTCTTTAGACAATACCGCAGTGCATGAGTGTTGTTCTCTCTCAGCGGAAAATGCAGGTGCTCCTTGGGGCGTGTTTCTCTGCAAGCAGGAGCATTCCTGCTTTCCTTGGTGAGCTGCACACTGGCTTTTGGGGCCTGTTTGCTTTGTTGAAGGTGTAGAGGCGGAAGGAACCACCTGCCCACCATTTGCCTGGACCCTCTTGGAGGGTTACTCATGTAGCCCCTGTGAATAACTGTGAAAGCTTCCTGCCATCGAGTCCTCCAACGTGGAAAAGCCGAAAACAAGAAGTACTGTTTTAAATCTAGCCCATAGCACTGGAACAGGTGGCCCAGAGAAGCTGTGGATGCCCCCTCCCTGAAAGTGTTCAAGGCCAAGATGCCCCTGCTCATGGCAGGGGTGTTGGAACTAGATGATCTTTAAGGTCCCTTCAAACCCAGACTATTCTATGATATTACTTACAGAATCACGGAATCATGTAGGTTGGAAAAGACCTTGAAGATCATCCAGTCCAACCATTAACCTAACACTGACCGTTCTCAAATATTTACAAATTAGAATTAGAGATAATTCCCAAATGATACAAGCTATATAGTTCTTAGTTTTAAATACCTCACTATAAATTTGATAGACTGCTGTGGTGAATAGTTAAGCATGGTTTGCTATGCTATTGTGTCTTCTTTTTTTAATGGCTTCAAATTTGATAGACTGCTGTGGTGAATAGTTAAGCATGGTTTGCTATGCTATTGTGTCTTCTTTTTTTAATGGCTTCAGATAAATTAATTAGACTGTACTGATTTTGATTTCATTAAAGACTCAAAATAGGAATACAAGTTGGCCTATTTGGGTAACAGTTCATTTAAATAAATGTATAATATAATTTACCAAGTGTAATGGTGTTCTCTATGAGCTCAAGAAGTGTTCTCTCCATATGCTCTATGTAATTAAAAAATAATTTATTAAGATTACTAACTAACTAGATCCACACAAACTAACTCACACCTAGGTATGCTAGAGTTAAGATTTCCCAATCATTGAAAAATCTAGACAGAAATAACACTGATCTAACTTGAGTCAGGTTCCTCCACTTAGAAAGACAAGAAGCATCACTGGTTCTTGTAAAGTATCTTGACATACACTGAATGTAAATCTAAGCTTTAAGGAGAGGGGTGAGCTACCATTTCAAGAGACTATAATTCTTCCCTCTTATGCCGTTGTTTATTATTCTCAGAACTGCAAGATGAAATACTAGTTCAACATAATTCTTTATTGCAAATACTATGGTAGAAGGGCCCAGCAGAGCTACTAATGTGATCTCCCTCATAATCTGAATCCAGATTCTGTTGCCTAGATGTCTGGGTGTGCATGACTCTTGTTGGAGATGTGAATTCCTATTTTAGGTCTGGTATTTCTTACCATTTATTGAGGAAGCAGCTTCTGTGTGTTGCTATAGAGCCTGGGTACGCAGGTGGGTGGCATTTAGTGGCTGCCTAGGATGGCAGAGTAGAAGCCAGCTTGGAAATTCAGTAAAATTGTCTAGAGGACTTTAGCAGAAACAGAGAGGATACTTCTGTTTAAATTATTTTGTCTCAGAAGCATGGGAACTATCAGCCAGCACACAGATGAAAGATGCCCTTTGTATGAAACATCTCATCATAAGGATCATTAAGGAGTGAGCCTCTGAAACAGTACCTGTTATGGATGCTGATATAATCTGTTTCACTTCCTTGTATTGCTGCTCTAAGCATTTTAAAAACACTCCATAATTATTTTTCCTGTGATAATTAGGTTGAATCCGAGATAGCTGTCCCTTTACATCCCTATCTCTTAATCATTAGATAAGCTGTTCTATCACACAGAATTAGAAGAGATGGAAGTGTAAAGATGACTTACCACAAGCTCCCACTAATCCTCCTACTGCCCCTCTTTGTTCTGAAGGCGTTCTTAGCTACTAATAAATACTTCACCCAAGTAAGAGAGGCATAATGCTTGAACCCAGACACAATTGACCGACAAAATAGTTGCAAGTAGCAAAGTTAACACAAGATTTAACAAATAGTATTTGCCAGTCTTGTATGTCTGTCATCAGTACAATTGTGCAGCGCCTCTAGTGAAGTTTAAGCAATAATTACAACTAAGTTTGTATTTATAGGAGTTAGAAAATGTAACAACATGTATCCTCATACTTTTGGTCACCAGTTTTACTCCATGGAAAGCTCAGGCTTTCTAAAGAAATTGCAGAAAATTCCTGCTTTTTTCGACCCAGGGGCATGCCTGCAGCATCAGAAAAAAAAAATAAAATAAAAAAAAAATCCACCGTTGCAGATAAAAATGACCAAGTGTATCTACATATGTAAAAAAGAGCTCTTTTACTATAAATTTCTGTACCATTTTTTTCATCTTACATATTTTAATGTTATATAAGCAGTTTTCAATTGGAAGTGTGCTTTATGCTAAGAATTTAACTATCCTCTCCAATTACAAGTTGCAGGTGTACTACTAATAGAAAATCCATGATATAATTTCATTTAAAAAAAAAAAAAAACCAACCACGTCACTGTCAACAAACCACAATGCTCACTATAGATTAAGTGACTCTTGAGCTACTCCATTTAAGACAGATTTTTCTTAGATGTGATTTAGATACCATCTCAGTAAAACAAACCTATACTACATTTGCTTCTCAACAAGAGGTCTGTTTTGCAGGAAAGGTATTGGAGGATAAACATATCCTGTTTAAGAATGAAGAGGAATACAGGAATGTGTTCTGAGACATGTTTCATGCTGTCACAGCCTTTCTTCCATACCTTCTGTGAGCAATAGGAAAAAAGAAAAACTGCTTTAAATCTTCAGAAAGGTCATCTAAGAATTTTCTCTGTACATACCAAAAAACCTTTATGTAAGAAAGAACTATACTTTTAAATATTTATGAAATATCACTGATTATTTCTACCTATATTGTATTTCATCTGAATGGTGTAAACCACACTTATCCTTTAATGTACAAAGATGTCCCCAAGCTTTTTTGAGATACCATTTTGCAGATATTTTGCTTCAACACACAATTTACAATGTACCATTTAAAAATCATTAGGATGTGAAAGATAAATGTTATATTTACATGGATCCAGACACTTGGCTGGACCAGTAACTAATAAAAATATTTATACAGATTGGAAATTAATATGTTACATTCAAGAGCTTAAGCAATACAATGAATACAAGAAACCTAAGATTGCTAAGAAAAATAGATAATGAATTCCGAAATGTCTGTACTTTGACAAACAGAAACAACTTTAAAGATTTTGTAATCTATCTCAACAGGTATTTGTTGATTTACTTGTTACAAGACAACTCTTTAAACAAAAGAAAGTTTGTTAAGGAAGTTATATAACATGATTTAGTTAAAATGACTCACCTTTGACCATTATAGATCAGTGATTTATGAGACAAACCAAATTAAGTTCACTGTCCCTTTAACAAAATTATTTTTCCTCTTTAAAACCAGATTTGGTTATCTATGATACATTGTAAGGGCCTGACACTAATTTTGAGAATAAGTTAATTCACTCTGATCCAAAAGCCAGTTTGCTTATAGTCTCTAATTTCTCATATGCTGTGAAATGGCTCAGGTCATCACTGCTATCAGAAGAAATAATCTTTCCTTCTTCCACCCATTCTGTCTCTCCCTACACTTCCATATTCCCTGATGCAGTCAAAGAAAATCTGTGCAGCTGTTTAATAAATGAGATCAGTTCCCTGATCCAGATTAAAATTAACACATGCTTTTTTAAGGTTAACTTTAACATGGATCCGTTCTTTGATCTGGTTCACCTGCCACTGCATAAATCCTTACCCTGGCACAAGAGAGGGAGCAGCATGAGGGCAGGAATGAGCTGGGGCACCATAAATTAGAATAGAGTATGTGAAGCTGAAAGTATGATTCCAAAAATGTCTTTTAACTGATAGATATCTAGAAACAATTGCCCTCTATCCTATTGTTTGTGAGGTTTTTGCTTGAGAGTATGTGTCCAAAGCACATGCTATAATACATCCTCCACATTATCTGAGAACATGCCTTTGTCCTCTTCAGATACTCTTTTTCTCTTTGTGCTTTGAAAATGCAGAGCTGAACCCTGGACTTGTGCTGTAAATCCTTCAAGTTGTGTACTTGGGGAGGAGGAGGGCAAGTGATAATTAAAAAAAAAAAAAAACAACCAAAAAAAAACAACCCCAAAGCCTCCTTTCTCTCACAGAAACAAGCCAAAACTTCATTCCTTCTCTGTTGGCTGCTACTGTCACAGGGTAGTTGCAGGACAGAAAATTTTTTCAGTCTCATAGATTTTTTTCGGATTTGCTAAACCATCCCTGCCAACAAAGATTTATGTCTGGACCCTAGCAAATCGCTTACCTTAAGAATACAGCTGAAGGATATTTAACAAAAATATATCCCTAGAGGATGAGTAGCATAGACTCTTTAAAGGCTCATCCTCCTCCTTTTCTAATTACGAGTTATACTCCAAGGTCCAGTGGGAGCTTTGGCCAAGAACTACATAACACATTTCTTAATGAAAATTAGGTTATCAGCATTGTTCTGCTTTTCTGGTTATACAGACTGTGATTGTAGTGAACATGGTATTTAAGCAAACAGAGACAAAGCTACTCTCCCATAACCTGCGCACATGTCACATCACAGTCAATGGTGGAAAAACACCCACATTTTCTATCCTTCTCCCCTTAAAAGTCACCTCTGACAATCTGGATGTAATAATTTCATTATCTCAGATTTTTATAGAAACAGACCATTGCCATTTCATCAGTACGGAAAATTCTAGTAGACCGCAATAACACTATTGAACAGTGGCTCAGATACAAGGTCTCCTCCCAGCTAATTACAATGCAACCTATGTAAATTCCTTAGAGAAGCACTTGCTTATTAATAGCTACATAGTATTCTCCCTGTTTTCATAACATCTCTCAGTTTTCACCATTATATTGCCCTCTCAAAGTCACAGTTCTTTCTGCTTTCATAAAACCTTCCACTTCGTTCTCTTGGTAGACTGTGGTTTTGGGACACTTTCTAATTACCGAGATATGACAATGGGAAATAGGTTATCTGTGATACAGGAAAATCCTGCAGTCTGTATTGCACAAAGCCTATCTTCCAGATGTGAAATCAGACATACTGGAATTTATTTATTTATTTCCTGAACTAACATGAATTTGCACCTGCTGGA